TATATCACTGTACCAAGGATGCAAAGAACCTGATTCAGCCACAAAACTGTTACCAAGAAGAGGGATTGACTTGATTGTTGAGTTTTTGTCGAGGAACACAGATAATAGCTTCAGTCTTCCTAATGTTTAGTTGGGGGAAATTTCTACTCATCCAGAATTGGAAGTCAAACAATCTGACAGTATCGGGTAGATGAAACTGAAGTAACAGCACATGCAACCGATGTGTGCATTTGGATGATATTGTCAGGGGGAAGTATACAGCTGAAAATTGAATAAGGCTGAGGATTGATCCTTAGTTATCACCAGAGGTAACAATGCAGGAGAAATCCTTTACAGGTGATTCTCTGCCTAACATGAAATAGATAAGAATGGAATTAAGTGAGACCAGTCTTACCGAGCTGGATGACAGTGGAGGAATGTTGCAGTAAACATGTACAAGACTGCAGAATATGTTGAGAAGAATGGTGAAGGAACACTTACCTTTGCCAGTCACACAGGATGGAATCTGTGACTTTTATAAGAAATGTTTTGGTGCTGTGGCAGGCACAGAAAAATCTGATCAAGTGGATTCATTCATGGAGCTTTAGCAAAGATGTGTATGGAGTTCAGAGGTGACAACAGTCAAGGTTTTTGGAGACAAAAGGAATAGTTGAAAATGGGAACAGATATTTTGTAAAACTATAGAAAGAGGAATAGGCCATTATGCCTAATAAGCCTGTAAAACATTTAATATAATCATGGCTGACTGAATTATTTTTAGTACCCTTTTACACACATTATCCTCATAACCCTTTACATCATTGCTAATCAGAAATCCCTCAACGTCTACTTAAAATAAACTCAAGGACTGAGCTTCCACAGCCCTCTGAGTAGGGAATTCCAAAGATTCACAACTTTTTGGGTAAAAAGAGATCTGCTCATCTGAGTCCTAAAAGGCATTTTCCTTATTTTTAAATATTTCCCACACCCAACTTCGGTTCTAGACTCTCCAACCAGGGAAAGCATATTAATGGCATCTTCCCTATCTTTCCTTTTCAGTATTTTGTAGTTGTCAATGAGATCACTGCTCATTCTTCAAATCTCGAGAGAATACAGGCTTCATTTGTCCAATTTCTCTTCATAATACATTCCCACCATGCTGGGAACCAGTCTGGTGAACATTTATAACACTCCCTGTAAGGCAAAAATATCTTTCCAAGATAAAGAGACCAAAACTGCACACAGTACTCCAGATCTGGGCTAAACAAACTCCCATAAAATGGAAGCAACTCTCGCTATTCCTATAGTCAAGTCCAATTGCAATAAAGTTACTATTCCATGGACCTGTCTAAAAGCTTGCTGCACCCACATGCTAGACTTCAGTAACATTTTGATGGAGAAATCCAGGCCTCTTTGTACGCCTACACTTTCCAATGTCTCACCATTTGTGAAATATTCTGCGTACCAGTTTCCCCTATAAAAGTGGATGACCTCATATTTTCTACATTAAATCCCATCTCCCATGGTCTCACCCATACGGGAAGTCTGTTCAAATCCTCCTGAAGATGTTTTACATCTTCCGCAAACACAAGTTCCTGTTTAGCTGTATATCATTCAGATTTGGAAACATTACATTTGGTCTCCAAGTCCAAATCATTGATATATTGTGAAAAACTGGGGCCCAAGTGTTGATCCTTGCAGCACTTCACTAGTCACAATCTTCCAACTTGAAAATGACCCATTGACTAACAGACAGAAACAGAGTAATAATAATCCTTAATCTATGTCAGTACATAACCTCTTATCCCACGGGTTTTATTTTGCTAGCCAACCTCCTGTGTGGAACTTTATCAAATACCTTCTGAAGATCTAAATATTATCTGTGTCCGTTGACTCCCCTTTTATCAATTTTGACAGTGATGTCCTCAAAAAAATCTCCAAGTTAGCCAAAGACAATTTTCCATTCTCAATTCTATGCTGTCCATAATAAATCAGATAACTTTTATCCAAATGTCCATTTATCAAATCCTTTATAATAGATTCTAGCATTTTCCCTACTACTAATGCAAGACTCACAAACTTATAGTGCCTGTTTCTCTTTTCCCTTTCTTCCTTTAAATAGTGAGGTGATAGTTAGTAGATGAGTTAGAATCATTCCTGAAATAATGGAATTTTGGAAGATGATTACTAATGATTCGATAATCTCTATAGCGACCTTCTTCAATACTCTGAGGATCACTGGGATCACCGGAACATATAAACTATCAGTCCCATTAATTTCTCCAGTACAATCTTCTTACTAATACTAATTTCCTTCAAATCCCTATTCTCCCTAGGTCACTTGAATGTCTAATTCTGGGAGATTCTTGTACCTTTCTGAATGAAAATAGACAAAATAATTATTTCTCTATTCTCCGTTATACATTCGCCTGACTATACCTGTAATGAACCCACATTAGCCAAACATTTCATTTTTACATAGATGTACAACTGGGGAGGCAATTTATTTTTCTTTATTCATTAACGGAATGAGGATGTCGCTGGCTAGGCAGCATTAATTGTCCATTCCTAATTGCCCAGAGGGCAGTTCAGAATCAACCATATTGCTGTGGGTCTGGAGTCACACGTAGACCAGACCAGGTAAGGATGGCAGTTTCCTTCCCGAAAGGACATTAGTGAACCAGGTGGGTTTTTCTGATAATCGACAATGGATTCATGGTCATCATTAGATTCTTAATTCCAGATGTTTTATTGAATTCAAATTCCACCATCTGCCATGGCAGCATTGAAACTCAGGTACCCAGAATGTTATCCGGGTGTCTGGATTAACAGTCCAGCGATAATACCACTAGGCCATTGCCTCCCCTTATCACCAAGGCATGGTGATATTATTATTAATCTAGAGACCCAGTTAATGTTCTTGGTTCATGTGTTCAAATCCTACCCATGGCAGATGGTGGAATTTGAATTCAAGAAACATCTGTAATTAAGAGTCTAATGATGACCTTAAAACCAATGTTGATTGTTGGGAGAAATCACATTTGGTTCACTTGTAGGGAAGGAAAATGTTGTCCTTACCTGGTTCGGCCTATAGCAATACAGTTGACTCTTAACTGCACTCCAGGCAATTAAGAATGGGCAATAAATGCTGCTCTAGCCAGTAATGTCCACATGCTGTGGATGAATTAAAAACAAAATGATTTAACAGTCCCATTTTTATGTTTTTCATCAGATTACATTCATATTCTATTCTTCTTGTCTGTCCTTCGTCAAAGTTGAATATCGTTAAATATTAAGTTCTCAGTCACAAAATTACAGAAGTGTTACGGTGCAGGGGAGACCATTTGGCCTATCATGCTTGCACTAGCTCCTTAAATGAGCACCATTACCTAGTTCCAATCTTCTGTTTTTCCCCCAGTCATGGTCATGCAGCCATGATTCTGTAATGGAGATTAAATCACACCTCGGTATTGCTAATTTTGCTTTTGGATCATCTAGCAGGTTGTGAATGCTGCATACATTCAGACAAAGTGCCTTTAACATTTTTTTTGACATCATTCTGCATTCAAACTATACTCAATGCTCAGCTTTGTTTCTCGTGTCCTCTACTTTATCTAACAGCTCTCCTGTTACCAACTTTACAGCCTTGCAATATGGGTTATTCTTAGATTCCCACCATCACCCCCACACCCCAACAAGCTATTCAAACAAACTCTAACACCGCTAGGAAATCTTACTGTGAGGATATCAATGCTGTCATAACCTGTCAAGCTTGTAGAAGTGCCAAGTGCGCCCAGTGCCTCTGAAATTTGACACACTCCTTCTGTGCCAATGTCCAGTCAAATGTTCAATCAATGAATCCTCATGTTCTAATTCTCACAAGCAGGTGACACTGTGAGTAATCCTGAGATTATTGCTCATGAGGTGTTGCTTTTTAATTATTTTGTTAGCTCTCTGAATTCTGCTTTCAGAACCTCATCCCTTTTCGTACCTATGTCATCAGGAATAAATGTGGAAAATGACTTCTGGCTGATGTCTATCCCCCAGAAGGATGTCCTGCAGCTGCTCCATGACAGCCAGGCACCAAGGAGGCGACACACCATCCCGGAGTCACGCTTCATGCCATGCGACCACCTGTCTGATCCCCTTACCATGGAATCACCTATCACTATTGTCCTTCTATTCTTCTTCCCCATCTCTTCTGCATCCCTCATGGGGCTGAGATGCCTTTGGAACTTGTTCTCTGGTTACACTCTTCTGAGGAACCATCATTTTAACAAATTAACTAAATAGAATACCAATTGGCAAGCAAGATATATACAGAGGACTCCTGCACTACTTGCCTGGTTTTCTTAGACAGCCTGGTAGAAACCCATTCCCTCTCTGCCTGTACATTTCTAATCTGTGATGTGACCTCCTCCCTAAGTGTGCTATCCACCAAGTTTCCTGCTTCATGGATACACAACAGTGACTTAGCTGCTGCTCAATTTCCAAGACTTGGAACTCAAGTTTTTGCAGCCATTGAAACTTCCTGCAGACACAGGATGTGTCCACAACTTTCGACATAGAATGTACACTTGTATACTGTAGGATGGACACTTCACTTGGCTCAGCTCATTTGCCATTTGTTACCAGAGATAAGAAGAATATTTTTTCTCAGAAGGTCACGAGTCTTTAGAGTCTATTTCTGAATAGGTGGTGGAAGTTTTGAATATTTTTAATGCAGAAGCAGACTTATAAGCAAGGGAGTGAAAAGTTATCAGGATGGATAGGAATTTAGAGTAATCAAATCGGCCAAGATCTTATTGAGTAGCAAAGCAGACTTGAAGGGGAAGAGTGGTCTACTCCTGCTCTTTGTATTGAGGCCAGTGAGAATTGTCGTATCTCTTAGTGGCTAGTTGGTGTTCGCTTATTGTGGATCTTCTGGCTGAGAGGCAGGAACATAACTCATTGATCAACAAGTCCTCCTTGTTTAACAAGAAATCACTGATATTTAATGATCTTTATTTTTACTCCTTCAGTTCGGGATTGTGCTGGATGCTGGATCGACATATACTTCGATTTATCTTTACCACTGGCCTGTGATCAAAAACAACGGCACTGGGATCATCAGTCAGCTGTATAAGTGTGACGTGGATGGTAATGTCCCTTTCTGTGAAAAATCAGTTGTCCCTTTTAAGACTTTTACCCTCTTTCACCTTAGTCATTCCTGTGGTACAGTCCTGATATACCATCTTAAATCCAAGGTACACAGACATCAATGAAAATACTGGATAACCAATGCAACTGGCTGGTCCATGCTGATGCTCCTGTCTATAACTGCTCATTATTCCGGAATCAAACTGGAATGTAAAGATAAAGGTTTATTTTTCCAGTGTAAACCCCATCCCCTCCCCCCTTGCCTCCAACAACAAATGTGAGCAGCTAGTGAAATTTCTTTGCCACCTAGACTGAGTCATACTAATCAACCCTGCCTCCTAGCAGACTGGCTCACACATACTTCCACAAATGCTGCCCCTGTTCACATCCTGAACTTGTACCTTTCTTGAGTTCCTCTCTTTTCTCCTGTTATGACTGTCTAATCTCACACAGTCAACAGGGCCCTGTTTCTTTGATCCTATTTCCATGAAACTGATCACCCAACTCCCCCTCCTGGTCTCCATATTAGCTGATCTTGTTAATGGCTCTCTTTGGGTACAGTTCCACCATGCCTCAAGTCAGTATGGCCAACATCTAATATTGAACAAAGAGAAGTTTATTCCAAGTAAATATTGGAGAGATGGAAAATGTTGAGTGATCAAGGTCTCACTCTGTGGTTATTGACGACAAAACCAACCGTGGATTTGTGTCACTTGCTTGGGGGAGGCACGATCACATTGTGTGTTTGTCAGGTACATACCAGCCAATTTTGGCAATTCCTCAGGACTTAGGACACCAAGGGTGGAAATCAGATGTCAGCAGTTCTCCAATATTGAAAGCAGCAACCAAGAGTTATACCTGCTGCTGCTAAAGTTCCAGGACTTCATCAGAAATTCCTGTTGGATCCCTGGACACAAGCAAGTGAATACAGAATGGGGGTCACAGGGATATGGTTACTGGTTGGCAGGCTGGTCAGAGGCAAAGGCAGAGGAGTAGCTTTCAAGGGGAAACATTTCTTCCTACCTACCATATCCATGCCACTCAAAATTTTATAATCTCAATTATGTCCCCTCTCAATCACCTCTGCTCTCAAGAAACCAACCCCAGTCTATCCAATCTCTCTTCATAACTGAAACTCGGCAGCCCAGGCAACAATCTAGTAAATCTCCTCTGCACCCTCACCATTGCTATCAATTCCCCTATAATGTAAATTCCTAAACGGCACGCAACACTCTAAATTGGCATAACCAACATTTCATGTAGATCCACTAAGACCTCCTTGCTCTTAAACTCTAAAGGCAGATGTACTATATGCCATCTTAACCATTTTATCCACCTGTCCTGATACCTTAAGGACCAGTGTACTTACACACCAAAGTCTGATCCTCTGTCTTTCCCAGCATCCTACTGTTTATCATATATTCCCTTGTCTTGTTTATCCTGCTCAAGTGCATAACCCCACATTTATCTGTGAATTCCATTTGCCACTGACTAACAGTGATGAGATGACCAGCTCATCTATATTCTTTCTTAGTCTAAGGCCAGCGTCCTCACTTTTTTACCACCTCACCAATTTTTGTATCATCTGTGAACCTACTGATCAACCCCGCTATTTTAAGGTCTAAATAATTTATATAAACTAAAAATAGCGAGGGCCCCAATACTGACCCCTATGGAACCCCACTGGACACAAACTTCCAGTGGATACAATTGTGGATACAATTTGCCAAACTTCCTTGGATCCAATAAGTTCTTACCTTTGATATCAATCTCCCATGTGGGTCCTTATCAAAAGCTTTGCTGAAGGCTAAGTAGATTATATCAAAAGTATTGCCCTCATCTGCACACCTTGTCACTGTAATCATAGAGTCATACAGCAAGGAAACAGACCCTTTGGTCCAACCAGTCTATGCCAGTCATGATCCCGATCTAAACGGATCCCACCTGCCAGATCCTGGTCTATATCACCCCAAACCTTTCAGATTCAAATGCTTATCCAACTGTCTTTTAAAGTTGTAGTTGTACCCACATCCTTCACTTCCTCGGGAAGTTCATTCCACATGCGAACCACTCTCTGTGAAAAACATCTGCTCCTCGTGCATTTTTAAATCTCTCTCCTCTCAACTTAAATTGCATCCCCTAGTCTTGAAATCCCCCATCCTAGGGGAAGGACAACTACCATTGACCCTATCTATATTCCTCATTATTTTATAAACTTCTATAACATCACTTCTCAATACCCAACATTCCAGTGAAAACATCCCAGCCTTTCTTTATAACTCAAACCTTCCATATCTGACAACGTCCTGGTCAATCTCTTCTGAACCCTCTCCAGCTTAATAACATCCTTCCTATAACTGGGCAACCAGAATTGCTCACAGTATTCCAGAAGAGACCTCACCAATGTCCTGTACAACCTCAACATGAATTTCCAACACTTATACTCGAAGGAATGAGCAATGAAGGCAAGCATGCTAAATGTTTTTTTTTAAACATGCAGTCTTATATGTGTCACAAACATCAAAGAATTATGTACTTCAACCCCACGGCCCATTTGTTATACAACAGTAGTGATCATAATGAGATCAGTCAGGTGGACCTAATAGAATATGAGTTACCTGATTGGGGCTGTAAATCTGGTCCAATCAGGGAGCCCTGGCTGACAGATATAAACAGGAGTGTCACAGGTGCTGTTCACTCTCAGAGTTGGCTCTGAGGAAGCTGGATCAGTGTCAAGGATTCTCCACATGTAGATAAAGGGTGACTTGGTGATGAGATACTGACCTCTATGCAGTTACTGTAGTCACCTCTTTGAAAGGTTAAATCAAGTTGGTCAGATGTGACTTTCCCTTAACAAAACTATGCAGCCTATTCTTAATTAATCCCTCAGAATTGGTTCCAGTAATTTCCTCACCAGCGTGAATAGACTCACTTGCCTGCAGTTTTCTGGTTTATTCTTGCTCCCTTCCTGAATAATGGTACTATGTTGGCTGTCCTCCAGTCCTCCGTCACCTCTCCTGTGGTCAGAGAAGAACTGAAAATTTTTGCAAGTGTACCTGTTATTTTCTCTCTTGCCTCACTTAACAGCCTTAGATACATTTTGTCTGGAAATTTATCTACTTTTAAGACTGCCATACCATTCAGAACCTCTTCTCTGTTTATGCTAATTTATTTAATTGTATCACAGACCTCCTGATCTGTGTACCTGTTTCATCCCTCTCAATAGTGAAAACCAATGCAAAGTATTGATTTAGAACCCTAACTATATCTTCTGATTCCACACTTAATGGACCCTACTCTTTTCTTGTTATCTTCTCACCCTTAATGTACCTGTAATATAACTGAGGAATTATCTTTATTTTATCCTTTCATGATGCCTTTTAGCTTTAATAATTCTTTTTTAATTGCCCCCTTGACTGCTCTGGGGTTTCTGCTGTTTTGATTCTTGGCATCTGCCATAGCCTCCCTTTTTCTTTTTATCCAATGTTGTCTTTCCCCTAATAGCCAGAGTGGGTGACATCGTGGCTCAGTGATTAGCACTGGTGCCTCACTGTGCCAGGGACCCAGGTTTGATTCCATCCTTGGGCGATTTTGGTTTGGTGTTTGCACATTCTCCCCACGTCTGCATGGATTTTCAATGAGTATTCCAGTTTCCTCCCACAGTCCAAAGATGTGCAGGCCAGGTGGATTAGCCATGCTAAATGCAGGGTTATAGGGATGGGTAGGGGGTGTGTCTAGGTGGGATGCTTTTCGGAGAGTCAATGTGGACTTGATGGGCTGAATGGCCTCTTTCCACACTGCAGGCATTCTATGATTTCATGGTCCCATCTTTTCCTTTGTTGGAACATGTTGGCCTTGACTTGAAGTCAAGATGACATCTTTACCCACTCCAAGTTCCATCACCCTTACACTCATTGGCCTAGACCTATTCTCTTGAGTTGAAAATTCTCATCTTGATTTCAAGCCCCTCCAGATCCACATCCATCCTCTGTAATTGTCATGAATGACTTCTGTAATTTCTTTCAGCCCTTCATCCACTGAGATGCCTGTGCTCCTCTCATTCTGACCTGTTGTGCATTCAGAGTTTAATCACATCACAATTGAAGTTGTGCCTTCAGCTGCCTGAACCCCAAGACATGGAATACTGTCCCTAAACCCATTTGCCTCTCTACTTCCCTTCCTCCACTTTCAGGCAATCCTTCAAAACCTACCTCTTTGACTGAATGCTTGTTTGTAATATCTTCTTATGTGGGTCCAGAGCCACACTTTGATAATACCTCCCTGGAGTGCTATGAGATGTTTTATTGCACTAAAGTCACTATATAAATGTAAGTTATGTTACATGGTGTGAAATATATGTTACTGTCCATACACTTTGAACATAAAAGCTAAATGCTAAGTGTAGTATTTTCAAGTGCTCTTTGTTAATATTGTTACGTTGTGTTATATTGTTATAAAGTGCCGTGTTGTTAATCTTCCCACCCATTGAGATAGGTGGCAATAATTCTCCATAATTCTGCCCAAGTAGATGACACGTGCACTGGCATATGCCACATCCTGATATCTGGATACCCCTGGCACCTTACAGTTTACAGTGTGTAACATTATTTACTTTAATTTTTGATGCACAGGATTTGCTAGATCAGTGGCTATCTATCCATGTCATCATTTGAGGTGACATTGAAAAGATCTGCATAACTGACCTTACAGAAACAGTGTCCTACTCTGTTGGTCTCTATATATGTAGCTTGGACATGTTGTATTGGTTCTCCACAAGACCAACTGGGAACGAGAGAATCTTTTCTCACATGATATATGTGTCACTGACAAGGCCAGAACTTTTTGCCCATCCATGAGCCCAATAGCAACTGACAAAAGGAAAGAATGGAGCAATGAATAAAACGTGCTTGCCCATCCCTGGATCCTAAAACACCCCATTGCATCTGCTAACCCTGGAAACCTTCCTGCATTTATGAGACCCTCACACGTAAACCCAATCT